GGTGGTTGAACCAATATCAGATAGAAAATCTTGACAGGTGGTTGCACCAATATCAGATAGAAAATCTTGACAGGTAGTTGCACCAATGTCAAATAGAAAATCTTGACAGGTGGTTGCACCAATGTCAGATAGAAAATCTTGACAGGTAGTTGCACCAATGTCAGATAGAAAATCTTGACAGGTGGTTGAACCAATGTCAGATAGAAAATCTTGACAGGTGGTTGCACCAATGTCAAATAGAAAATCTTGACAGGTGGTTGCACCTTGGTAATTCTCTATGTAGATCTTCCCCAGCACTAATAGCCATGTTGTGAGATTTACCTTTGCAGCTATCCCGTATATAGACTAACATATAAGCATTGGTACTGTGTTTTACAGATATATCATCTTCATGTCCACCAAAGTTGTTGTCAATGGCTTCAGTTTTATTACAGCGGGACACAACATCATCATCAAATTTACACCACTGTAAGATATCAAACCATAGAAAGATGTTATGACACAATAAATACAATTTAATTTGCATAATCACATATGACGAATTAGTTTATTTTCTCGTTCCTGGCTGAGGAGAAATCAACATAAAAAGAAGAGCTAAGGAGCAGAATAAAAGAAAAAAATAAATTCATATGTGGAATATTGCAGAGAAGAAACATGTTATAAAACTTTACCTTGCCATCACTTTTAGGGTTAATATATACAACATAATGACCGCCATGATTGTCCCCGCTATGTACTAGCACTGCATGTATGGTATACAGGGCTGGCGTGGGTTCTTTGTTTTGTAAAAAATTGTCTAAATTAAGCTTCTCTGGAAATTCAAACCTAGAAAAAAGAACAAATATGGTGCACATTAACATTGTCTCAACATGAGCAGTGACAAAAAGGATATTATACTAGGAACAATACATTTCATTTAGGCTGCCTACAACATGAGAAAAGTAAAACTACGATAATTTCAGATCTATTTGATGCATACAAAACTGCATAATCCCTTGAAATACAATTGTTATGTATTGCTACACATACATTTTCTCTTGTTTTGTAACTTCTGTATTCTATTCTATTCTATTCTATTCTATTCTATTCTATTCTAATCTATTCTATTCTATTCTATTCTATTCCATTCTATTCCATTCTATTCTATATTTTAGCTGGAATAAATTTTCACTGAAGACTTTTTGGGTGTTTTGTATGGAATTTATTTTCACTGGTTTTTCACCAGTTGAATGTAAAATATAAGAAAAATGGTAAGATCAAATCCAGTGCTCAGAATATTGTTAAAATTTGTGATTTTATTTTTATCTTTAATAATAGACTGATTTTTCATATGAATATTAAAGAATTAAAATTTTGAACGAGTTATTTTTGTGGAAGATCAACCAACTTACAATAAGAAACTGATTGAATCAAAACTGTAGCCGTAGGCATAATATAATAACACCAACTACAACATTGACAGACATTTCATATCCATACCTTCCCTTCATTATCATTACCACCTGTAACAAAGTCAAGCACAGAACGAAAATTCAGAGAATATGAAAAGAACATTATTGAGATGACAACGTACCTATCGTTAATTTTAATGTTTGTATCTGTAGCTGGATCGTACTGAAAACGCATCAGTTGTAAATGTAACACAGGAGGAAATGAAAGAAAAGTCACCCCCTTTTCAGCTTCCTGAAGAGATAAAAATAAAACAAACAATTGGTTACATTTCAGTTTATTGTATGAAGTATCCGAATACTGCAATGTGCTTGTTTCTCAAAAATTTCATATTAATCCCATCCCATATTAATAACTGCACAACTAAAGGTCCTGAAGTTTTAACCATTGAAACACACCTGTAAATTACAGAACCTAAGAGTACAGTACCTAACACCATTGACATGAATAGAAAATATTGAAAAATCACAATTATTGGCACAAGACAGTATGAAATACAAATTACAAAAATCAAATTAAATACCTGCAGTCCAAAGTCACCTGCGTCATACTTATTATCTCCATCCATAGTTTCCGGTGTTACATAGTCTTGAAAAGATTCCATAACTAGAAAGAGTAATATTTCAAAAATATTTACTTCTAATGTTTCCACATCATAAATACAACCCACAAAATCTGCTGCTGACGGAACTAGGTAGCCATCAGTAAACCACAATACCATCACTTCTTAAACTCATTAAAATGCTGTCATGGGAGAAATTATAATTTTCAAGCTTCATTTATTTAACAAGTCATTGAAAATACACAGTCCCCGTTAAATTAAGTTCTCTTTGTGCTCGTCATATTAAAGCAGAGGGGTTGTCGCGAGCGTATCCTTGAAACTTGATTGTTTGTTTATTTACATCAAAACATGTGTTCACAGTAGTAATATGGCCAAAAATAAAAACAGCCATTATTCGGCCATCTTTGATATGATTATGAAACACACTGATATGTATGATGTATTTGCCAAATACGAATGAAAATGATACATAAATTGTGGAAATATAGTAGTAAGGCAAAAAGTCAGATGGCTGTCAATCGGCCATCCTTGACCAGATTTTGAAACATTGTCATGGACATGCATCCTAACATGTATAAAGTACATGTATGTGCCAAATTTGAATGAAAACTGACAGAGCACGTCCAAGATACCGGATAAAAAAACAAAAACAAAATGCCTGCCAGTCGACCATCTTTGATCCAATTGCTAAATAAATCGTCATGGACATGTATCCTGACATGTATAATCTATGTACAAAGTTTGAATGAAAACGGACAAAGCATGTCCAAAATAAAACATTTTCAAAAAACAAGATGGCTGCCAGTCGGCCATTTTGAATCGAATCGCTAAACCACTGCATGTGCATATGTCCCACATAAAGTACTAGGCACATGCAAAGAATGAACGGAATCGGTCCAAGGGATTCTGAGATATGACTCCGGACGGACGCACGGACGCACAGATGCACGGACGGAGACCGAATTATAAGTCCTCATTTTCGGACTTCGTCTGAACGGGGACTAAAAACAGCAACAACAACGGACATTATGAACCAACATCTAATCTGAGCTGATCATATCAAGTACTGAAATGAAGTGAAATGCAGGATACAGGACTTACTTGTTTTTTTCCCTTTGATATTAAGCTGAATATCATAGAAAGGCTCTGTTCTTTGAGACATGTAGTTAACATGCTTGCATTTAATGTAGGACTAAAAGAGAAATAAATAAAGCACTGTTACAGAAGTGTCTTTCAAATTCAGCTACTATTGGCTCTAATTTAGCCTGATCATTTTTCTACTATTAAGTATTAAGAGTACTGCTACCACAAAAACTTGGATCACTTTCAAATCGTTAGTTTTAAAGAACAGCAAGGTTTTAAGAATACAAAACTATGTGGAAATCTTGAACTGGTTGAATTTTCAGATTAAAAATCAGTGGTGCATTATTTTTTGTCAGAAAAGAAAAATTGTCATCAAAACACAATCAGACAAATTCCCCAAAATCATTGTTAGAAACCAGTGTTTTGCAATAATCATTGTTTTGATACAAGTTGTGTTATGATCAGCATAAGAGGTGCTATCATACTTACAATCATCTTCCCTTCAAGCAGTTTAGGAATTGTTCCTTCCACAAGGGTTCCTTTCATTTTACTTTCCATGTTATCTATTAACTGAGAGATGAAATGAAAAAAATCTCAATGCATATCAATGCATGTAATGTGGTTATATATGTAATGTAATGCAATGTAATGTGGTGTCATGTAGTGTAGTGTAGTGTAATGTGGTGTAATGTAATGTAATGTGGTGTAATGTAATGTGGTGATATGTCATGTGGTGATATGAAATGTGGT